GTAGGCATCTTGAAGAAAATGAAGATGGATCCCTGGCTAAGGCTTCACAACAACAACAAAAAGAATCCAGATAGTCACAGAAGTAAAAGTAAAAAATAAAAACATGAAATTACTAAAATGAAAATGCAAGAGTTTTTTTTTTTTCCAAATATAGTTGAGCAATGAGGAAGGCCTATCTAGTTATAACACAAAACTTGGAGGACACAAAAAACTGATAAACTCAATTATGTGAAATGCATGGGGAAAAAAAACAAAATTTTTCATTTAAAAGACAAATGAGAGGTTGGGAAAAATATTTGGGATACATATGAAAGACAAAGAGCTAACGTCCTTAATGTATAAATAGCAATAACCTAATAGAAAAATAGAAAAAGGAAAATTTAAAACATTTCAGAAAAAATGATATGGCTCTTTAAATACAATCACTTATGCTCAACCTCAGCCATAATAAGAGAAATGCAAATTAAATATGTACTGAGATAACACGTTTTAACCTATCAGACTGGCAAAAAAGAAAAAAAAAATATGACAAGATACTGTGTTGTCTTAGGTATGGTGAAAACAGGTACTCTTATGTAACTGATACAACCCACAAGGCAGGCAATTTTGCCAAATCTATCAAAAATGAAAATGTATGTATCATTTGTCCTGGGTATTCCACTTGTAGAAATTTCTCTTAAAACATAGTCTCCTTCACATTAACTTACAGATAGATAGATAGATATGGATATATATATATATGGATATTCATTGCAGTATTGTGTGTAATTACAAAGGATTGGAAATACCTTAAACATCTATTAATAGAAAACTCGTTAGCATATTTTGATATATTCATATAATCAAATAAGATTCAGCCTTTAAAATGAATGAGGTAACTCATTACATACACTAACACTAAATGATCACCAAGATTTATTATTAAGGGAGAAAAGCAAGTGTTGGGAATTTTGTATGCTAACATTTTAGTTTAAAAATGAATATATGGGTATGGGGTGGTATGTGTATGTATGTGCACACATGTACATTGTTTGTATGTACAGACCATGTGTGGCTACCTTTGGAAAGAATATATTGGCTATTGGGGTTAAAATTAGAGGGTACATATTTCTTTTCCTTTCCAAAAGATTTTTATTATAAAATATAATATTCATGCATTAAAAAATGCATAGAACAAATATTGAGCTTAGCTAATTATTCAAAGCAAAAACCTACTTAATACCCACCCTAGTCTGGAAACAGAACATTCCAGCTCCTTTCCCAGAAGCCTTCTTATGCCTTTTTCCCTCCCTCCCCTCTAATCAAGGAAACCACTACCCTGCCTCTGCTGGTAAGCACTTCCTTGCTTTGCTTTCAAGTATTACCACCTACACATGTACCCTACACGATATGGTTTTGTTTTCCCTGTCTTAAAACTTTATATAAATTGAGATTAACACAACAAATTCTTTCATGTCTGGCTTCTTTCACTCAATATTATGTTCAATTTATTTATCCATTTTATTATTGATGAATAATAATTCTAATATTTTCATTATTTCGAGTTTCTGTCTGCTACAAGTAATACTACAGTGAACATTTATACATGTGTCTTGGCACATGAGCCAAGAATTTCTGGTGGGTATTTTCCTAGGAGCATTGTCTCCTCATATGATCTACATATGCTTGGATGAGTAAGGCTAAAGTGTTTTCCAAAAAGACTGTACCAATTTACACTCCCATCAGCAGCACATGAAAGCTCATGGTGCTCCTTATCTTTGCTAACACTTGTCATTGTCAATCTTCTAAATTTTCACCATTCTGGTGGCAATGTAGTGGTATTACACTGTGGTGTAAATTTGCATTTCCTTGATGACTAATGAGATTGAGCCCTGTCTCAGGTGTTTATTAGCTATTCAGATGCTCTCCAGTTGTTACACATCTGCTCAATTGGCCTCTGACTACGGGGTAGTCTGTTTTTCCTTATTGTTGTTCTTTAGATATTCTGGGTATAAGTCCTCTGTTTTTATATCTTCCCCACTCTATGGATTGCAATTTTCTTCTTAATGGAAGTGATAATCATAAAAGTCAGGATAGTAGTTATCTTTGAGAGTAGGGGGATTCTGGAATGCTGACTATGGACTCTTCTAGACCTATATAGGGATAAATCACTCAGCCGTATATGTCTGTTTTGTATACTTTTCTGTATGTTATATTTTACAATAAAAACATTTTTAAAAGGATAGACTTAACTTATGATCCATTAACTCCACCCTATACATATACTTAAGAGGGTATACACACGTGCACAAGGAGACATGAACAAGAATGTTCACAGCACCATTGTTTGTAATTCATATATTTTACCAAAATATTTTAAATTTACAAAGATTGATAAAAATTTCTTCAGTAGGCCATCTTTTGTGAATAAAAAGAAGAAAATAAGAATGTGTTCTTAGCTGCTTTTATTTGCATAAAGAAACCCTAATCATACAAAGAAAACTAACTGAGCTGGTCATATGTATTAGAGACAGCTGAGCAGAGAGGAAAAAGATAGATAAGAGAGTGTAGACTGTACAGGTTGAGTAGCCCTTATCCAAAATGTTTGGGACCAGAAGTGTTTTGGATTTCATATTTTCTCAGATTCTAGAATATTCACATCATAATTACTGGTTGAGCACATCTAATCTGAAAATCCAAAATACAAAATGTTCCAATGAGTATTTCCTTTGGGCATCATGTCGGTATTCAAAAAGTTTCAGGTTTTGGAGCATTCTGGATTTCAGATTGTCAGATTAGGGACACTCAACCTGTACAGCTTTTATATTTGTTAAATTCTTTGAGCCATGTATATATATTATTATTCAAAAAATTAAATTAAAAATTATTACTAATATCCTTAGAGTGATAAGATGCTACATCCATAAATCAAAAATAGCACGCTATTAAAAGGGAATATTCTGAAAACAAAAAGAGCTATTTCAGATAAAAAGCATAACAGCATTAATGAGAGACACAACAGAAGATTTAGAAGATGGAGGTTTTTAAAAAAAAATCTCCTAGAAAGGAGAGCAAAAGAGACAGAAATGAAGATCAGTAAAGCAAAGAATAAAAAAAGGAAGATCAAGAGGATCAACAACCAAATTCAAAGAGTTTTTTGAAAAGCAGAGAAAATGTATGCGTGAGTAGAAAAGGCCTAGGAAGATCCTTGGAAACAAACTTTTAAAATTTGGCATAAAAATGACTTCCAAACTAAAATTCTAAACTCAGCCAAAAAGACAAATTTAGTGTCACGGTCAAATACATATATTTCCATGGCATTAATTTTTACATTTCTATAAATACATCTGTACAGTTCTATATATTAAATAAATCTGTTTATGCATGACATTTTCAGATACTTTACCTGTCATGCATTCATTTTCAAGGATATCTGGGAGGATATACCCCCACAAAATGAAGGGGTAAGCCAAGAGAGTTGAAGACATAGGGCCAGGTGTGGTGGCTCACGCCTGTCATCCTAGCACTCTGAGAGGCTGGGGTGGGAGGATCATTTGAGGTCAGGAGTTCAAGACCAGCCTGAGCAAAAGTGAGACCCTGTCGCTACAAAAAATAGAAAAATTACCCAGGCGTGGAGGCAGATGCTTGTAGTCCCAGCTACTGGGGAGGCTGAGGCAGGAGGATCCCTTGAGCCCAGGAGATTCAGGTTGCAGTGAGCTACAATGATGTCACTGCATGTGACAGAGGAAGAAGAAGAAGATGAATACAAAGAAGAAGATGAAGACGAAGAAGACGACGAAGACAACAAAGAAGAAGACAAAGACGACAAAGAAGATGACAACAAAGGAAGAAGGAAGAAGGAAGAAGAAGAAGATAACAGGCTCCAGGAAACAAGAGATCTGACCTAAGAGAGAAGTGAAGGGGATTTCCTGGGAGATGGTGAAAGGAAGAAGCCAGGGTAATGGCTATGTGTCAAGTGGAGAGTCAATGCAGACTTCAGCAAGTCAAGCTCTAGGAAAGATTTATTCAAGAGAAGACAATGATGCCTAGAGTTGCAACAGCCCCAACTATTATTAGGTGTGTGAACTTGAGCCAGATAGTTTTCTCTATGCCCCAGTTTTCCCTTCTATAAAATGAGGATAATAATGGTATCTACTTAACGAGGTTGTCATGAAGACAAGTGAATACATGTAGTGTGCATATAACCATCTGGGCACGTAGTAAACATTGTATGAGTGCTTGTAATTATTACCACTATGATTATTACCTAATGTGGGAAGAATTTGGAGTTGAATTATTGATACATATATAGTAAAGTGAACAAATGCCTAAACCAGAAAATTGTTAATTCCAGGGAAAAGAAAAAGTTGTGCAGAAATAATAATCATAGTATAGATACTATTTTATTCAACTATAAATCATCACAGTAAGAAACAATGACTATGGATTTCACCAAAACAATGATCTTAGAAGGATAGGGTCACAGGAAATATGTATGTCAGTAGAGGCATATAGAAAAGCTCAATCTCTATCTTCCATAGAGGAAAGTCAATAGATAATGCCCAAAACATTTACAAAAATTATAAAGATTAAGAGTGCTTATCTCTGGGGAGCTGGAATCTGGGGGAAAACAAAGCAGGGAAGAGTTATTTTTTTAAAAAGACTTAAAGAACTATTTGATACCTTTTACCACCTGTAAACAAACCTAAAAACTAATTGCAAATTACCAAGTGGCAAAAAAAATTCACAAAAATATATAAGAATGATAAAGGGCTATTACCTTAATATTTCCAAAAACCTCTTTAAAAATCCATAAGCTAAAATAAATAAATCAGCAAGGGACAAGAGAAGGAAATTAACAAAAAGGAAATAAATGAATGAAACCAATGAAAATATGAGGAAAAAATTATTCTGCCTAGTAAAAAAGTAATACAAATGAAAACAATGAAACAGTAGCCTTCGTTCAGGCTCTGAAGCTCTGGATGAATTCTTATCCCTGGGTACCTCTTCTTCCTCCTCACCTCATAAGTGTTGCCATGTACCCCTGGCTGGGAAGAGTCCCTGTTGGCTGGCATGTTCCCACTGGACCTCAGCCCTGGGGCTTTCTTGCTGACAACTCCGCTCTTCGCAGGAGTCCGGTGGAGTTTGTAGAATTCAACTGGAGCTGCTGGGGTCAGAAGGAAGATCCTGCAGCCTTCACCATGGGGTCTGGCTCAGGGACTCTGCAGAGACTCCAAGAACCCTGAAAAGACAGTGTCCACATGGTCAGAGTCACTCAGCACCCACCACACCAACATCTCCCCAGGGTACCAAAGTATAGTTCACTGTACTGGATACTGTGGGGTAGATGAAGTCCCAGAAACAAATATTCTAGTTATTAATTAAAACAGAATATGAACAAAACCATGAGATTTGGACTAAAATTAATAAAGTTTTAAATTCTAGCTCTGCCAGCTTTTAGCTATGAGAATACAAAAAAAAATTCTTCAGTTTTATTTTTCAAAATGAAGCAAAACTATTTATCTCAAGTGGTAGTGCAAATGAAATGAGATAATGTCTGTAAGGCACTTAGCACTGGATTGGCACAAGGTAAACATTTAATACGTATTAGCAAGTACTGTTTTTATAAGGAACTGTGTAATATGCAGAAGCAGGTACCTTATTTAATTTGCACAATAATCCTGTCACCTGTGTTGCCATAATTATTATTATTTCATTTTATGCATATAGATAGAGAGGTTTAGTGGTCTTAAGTAAAAATGGCTCCAAAATTCATGTTGTCAATCTTATTCCATATGGTACCTTTGGTATCTAGTCTACGTGGCTCCAAAGTTTGTGCTGTCAATCTTATATAGTACCTTTCACATGGTAGGCTCAAAATAAATATGGTTGTGTTTAACACATGTTGAAAACATGGCTGTGAATTCAGAATAAAAAAAGTTAAGTTTCTTGAAACAGAAGAGATATGTCATAAAGAAAATATTAATAGCCTGGGACTAAAGTTTTTTAATTACCTCAAAAATGTCCAGAGGTAAAAACATTTCTCCTGTTGAGAGAACAAGGGAGGTGAGAGTGTCTCTGTGTCCAAGTAGAGGTGCAAATTTATTCTAATCAACCAATAGAGGCACTATAGATTTAGTCATTCTTATTAGGAAAAGGAAAATGTTTACTTAAAATAAAAAGAAAATTAAGACAACAGAAGAAAGAATGGGATGAAGAGGAAAAGAGAAAGTAAAATAAATAATAAGTAAAATAAAATAAAAGTCATGAACAAGTTATATTTTAAAAAGATAAAGAGAATATTATACCAAAGAAAGGGAGAATATACTTTCTTCTCTTATATTCATGGAACTTTTACAAAATTCCTTCAAATAATTTGGCCACAAAGAAAATCTGATAAATGTTTGAATGCTTGTAATTGGCAGGCTATATTCTCTGCTCATAGCACAAAGTGTCCCACATCATTAGTCATTAGGAAAATCCAAATAAAACGAAAATCTTCCATTCCTTAGGAGATCACTTCACATCCAATAACATGGCTAAAATAAGGGAAAAAAATACAATAACAAGTGTCTGTGAGATATGAATAAATGGGAGCTCTCATGTATTCCTGGTAGGATTGTAAAATGGTGCATCCACTCTGAAAAACATTTTAGCAGTTCCTCAAAATATTAACCACAGAGTCACCTAGCAATTTTACTACTAGAGAGAAATTTTACTACTACCTAAGAGAAATGAAAATACATATCTACTGGAAAACTTGTACATAAATATTCACAACAGCATTATTCATAGTAGCCAAAAAGTAGAAACAACCCAAATCCTCATCAACTGATGAATGCATAGACAAAATGTGAAATATGTACACAATGGAATAATATTTAGCAATAAAAAAGTACCTGCTATAACACTGATGAACCTTGAAACTGCTATCCTATGTGAAAGAAGCCAGTCACAAAAGACCACATATTTTATGATTCCATTTATGTGGAATGTCCAAAATAGGCAAATCCATGGAGACAGAAAATAGATTAGCAGTTGCCTAGAGCCTGGGGTATGGGGTGGTCTGAATAGTCAATGTCTGCTAATGAGGGTGGGGTTTCTTTTTGAGGTGTTAAAAAGGTTCTAAAATTAGATTTGTGGTGATGGCTGCACAACTCTGTGACTATACTAAGAAACCACTAAGCTGTACATTTTAAATGGGTGAATTTTATGATATTGGAATATATCTAAATAAATCTGTTTTCTTGAAAAAAGAAAGAAAACAAACTTTTTCTTAAATAACTCAGGATCAAAGTGGGAAATCAATACAGAAACTGTACGAAGTGGGAAATCAATACAGAAACTGTACAAATTTTATCAAAATTTATGGAATACAAAAAATTGTATTTAGAATGAAATCTATAGCCTTACATGACCTTATTTTTAATTAAAAATAAATATAACCCCCAAATGAGCTATGTATTCAACCTAAAATATTAGAAGTAGAAAAAACAAAATTAAGCAAAACCAAAACTGGGAATGAATAAAAATAAAACCTTAACTAGATCAAATAAATACAATAGGAGATTTAAAGAAAGAAAAGAGCTACTCCTTTGAAATGACCAATGTCATAGAAAACTCCCTAGCAAACCAGATAAAGGAGAGGAGTCAAATATATACACATATATTTGAAATGAGAGAGGAAAATCTTTCCCAGACAGGAAAGTGTTCAAAGCAGTTATTGTGGAATATTATGCACAACTGCATAGCAACACATTTTAATACTGATATGAAACAAATGCTTCCCTAGTAAAATGTAAATTAACAAAGTTAATACAAGGGAAAAAAGAGAAAGAAGAAACTAGTGAGTATAGAATAGACCAGGGGGGAAAATGAACATAACACAACAAACACAAATGGGAAGACTCTGAAAGGTAGAAAGGTAAGGTGGGCAGCCTTGAGACTTCAGGACTTGAGAAACAACACAGTGGTGAGTTCCCAGGGTTTTCTTTTACCCCTCCATGTATCACTATCACACAAAGGTACTGGAGAAGCTTACAATTCAGGGCCACCAACAGGCACAGACAAAAAAAAAAAACTCCAAGTAAAACCACTTCTGTTCATTAAAGGACCAAGAAAAGATGATTTCACAGAACAGAAAACCTTTTTGAAAAAGGCTGGCCTATTCCAGCCAAACACTAATGGAAGCACCCATTGAACATTCTCCAAAACAGGCCATATCTGGGGTCATAAAATACCTCCACAAATTGAAGTCATACAGAGTATGTTCTCTTATAACACCATGAAACTAGAAATCAATAACAGAATGATAACAGGAAAATCTCCAAAAACTTGAAAATTAAACAATATATTTCTATATAATCCACGGATCAAAGACAAAGTCTCCAGGGAAAAAAGCACTGTTGAGAGGGAACTGTATAGCACTAAATATTTACATTAAAAAGAAAGGTTTTAAATTCATAATCTAAGCTCCCACTTCAAGAAACTAGAAAAAGAAGAGCAAAGTGAACTCAAGTAAGCAGAAGGAGGGGAGTAATAAATATAAGAGCAGAAATCAATGAAATTGAAAGCAGAAAACAACAGAGAAAGTCAATAAATTCAAAAGCTGGGCCGGGTGTAGGTGGCTCACACCTGTAATCCTAGTACTCTGGGAGGCAGGTGGATCACGCAAGATCAGGAGTTCAAAACCAGCCTGAGCAAGAGCAAGTCCCTGTCTCTACTGAAAATAGAAAGAAATTAATTGACCAACTAAAAATATATAGAAAAAATTAGCTGGGCATGCTGGCATGTGCCTGTAGTCCCAGCTACTTGGGAGGCTGAGGCAGTAGGATTACTTGAGCCCAGGAGTTTGAGGTTGCTGTAAGCTAGGTTGATGCCATGGCACTCTAGCTCAGGCAACAGAGTGAGAGAGTAAGATTCTGTCTCAAAAACAAAACAAAAAAAAAGCTGGTCCTTTGAAAAGATCAAGAAAATGGGTAATCCTCTAGCAAGATTGACAAAGATAAAAACCAATATTAGAAAAGGGAATACCACAAACAACTTTGTGCACATAAATTCAACAACTTGGATGAAATAGTACAATTCCTCATAAAACACAAACTACCACAACTCACCCACTACTAAACACAGGTTGAGTATCCCTTACCTGAAATGCTTGGGACCAGAAGCATTTGGGGTTTCAGATTTTATTTTTTGGATTTTGTAATATTTATTTGCATATACATAATATAAAATGAAATTCTTTTAAGTTTCATATATGCCTTATATACATAGCCTGAAAGTAATTTTATACTATATTGCTAATAATTTTGTGCAGGAAACAAAGCGTTCTGACTATAACCCATCACAAGGTCAGGTGTGGAATTTGCCACTTGTGCCATCATTTTGGTGCTCAAAAAGTTCTGGATTTGGGAGCATTTCAGATTTTGGATTAGAGATGCTCAACCTGTAGATAATCTGAAAAGATATTAAATAGATAATCTAAATAGTTATATAAATATTACAGAAATTGAAGCTATAATCAAAATCTTCCAAATGGAAATTTCTGGACCCAGATGGTTTCACTGGAGATTTCTACCAAACATTTAAAGAAAAATTAGCACTAATTCTTCACAATGTCTTCCAGACAATACAAGAGGAGAAAAAGTCCCCAACTCATTCTATGAGGCCACTATTACCCTAATACTAAAACCAGACAAAAACAGTATAAAAAAGCTATAGACCAATATCTCCCATGAACTTAGTGCAAAAAAGCACTGTTGAGAGGGAACTGTATAGCACTAAATCTTTACATTAAAAAGAAGAAAGGTTTTAAATTCATAATCTAAGCTCCCACCTCAAGACACTAGAAAAAGAAGAGCAAAGTAAACTCAAAGTAAGAAGAAGGAGGGGAGTAATAAATATAAGAGCAGAAATCAATGAAATTGAAAGCATAAAACAACAGAGAAAATCAATAAATTCCTCAAAAAAAAGCATTAGCTAATCAAGTCCTGCAATATATCCAAAGAATTTATACCACAACCAAGTGGGGTTTATTCAAGGAATGTAAGGCTAGTTCAATATTCCAAAATCAATCAGTGTAATTCCCCATATTAACAGGCTAAAAAAGAAAAAAATAACAAGATCATATAAACTCAACACTAATTCATGAAAAAAAACAAAAAACAAAAAACTCCCAGCAAATTGGGAATAGAATGGAACTTCCTCAACTTGATAAAGAGCACCTGAAAAAAAAAACTATAGTTAACATACTTAATGGTAAGAGGCTGAATACTTTCCCTCTAAGACAGAAACAATGCAAGGATGTCCACTCTCACCACTCTTATTCAACATAGTACTGGAAGTTCTAGACAGCATAATAAAGCAAGAAAAGGTATAGAGGCTGGGCATGGTGGCTCACGCCTGTAATCCTAGCACTCTGGGGAGGCGGAGGCGGGTGGATCATTTGAGCTCAGGAGTTCAAAACCAGCCTGAGCAAGAGTGAGAATCCGTCTCTACTAAAAAAATAGAAAGAAATTAGCTGGACAACTAAAAATATATTAAAAAAATTAGCTGGGCATGCTGGCACATGCCTGTAGTCCCAGCTACTCATGGGAGGCTGAGGCAGAAGGATTGCTTGAGCCCAGGAGTTTGAAGTTGCTGTGAGCTAGGCTGACACCATGGCACTTTAGCCTGAGCAAAGTGAGACTCTGTGTCAAAAAAAAAAAAAGGAAAGAAAAGAAAAGGCATACATATTGGAAATGAAGAAATAAATAAAACTGTCTTTGTATATGACATGATTGTTCATGCAGAAAACCCAACAAATCTACCAAAAAAGGTGTAAAACTAATAATTGAGTTTGACGAGATTATGGAATACAAGATAAACAAACAAAACACAACTGTATTCCCATATATAAGCAGCAAACATGGGGAGATCAAAATTTAAAAGACAATATAGCATTTGCAACCACTCCACGAAAATTACTTAAGTACAAACTTAACAAAACATGTACAGAATTTGTATGATAAAATTACAATATACCGTTGAAATTAATCAAAAAAGATCTAAATAAATGGAGAGACTGTGAACATGGATTGGAAGACATGACATAGTTAAGATATAAATTCTACCCAAACTGAAATACAGGTTTAAAGTCCCAGTAAGATGCTTTGTAGACAGAGACAAGATTTTCTAAAA